TATTACCAGCAGCAGAAGCGTTGGCAGCGGCTTCGCCAAACGTGACCTAATGGCTCCCGTGCTATAACATGTATTCCATCGTAGCGAAAAGGTTGATATTCCCAGCATCCTTTTGGCCAATGTGAAGCCTCCTGTCCACTTTGCCCCAAGGGTGTCTTCCATGCACGGTGCCCACCTCAGACTCCACGGGTTAAATGATATTCAGGAATGTTGGCTTGATAGCTTCATAGGAGAAGCGCAAGAACAAAAGGGTGGGCATTACTCGAACTTTCCCTGCCAGGAAGCGAGGTTCTGCTTGTGGAAATCGTGAAATATATAAAAGTTCTTTGCAGCCAGTGATCTGTCCCCAAAACTGGCATGCCACACATATGCGACTGCAGGGCCAACTCGTAGTGAATTTCCATTATTCAAGCGACGGAGTGGCCATGCGCGAATTCATGTCGTCATTGCAGGCAATCAAAACTCGCCATACGATACAGGTTTTATCGATACAGGTCTTTCTCTCCTGGACAGCGCAAAATCGAATCGAATCGATATGAAGCAAAAACGCCTTCTGGTGACTCACTATGTCCCTCGCGCAGCTTTCGTGTAAAACGGCATCGGCCGTCGGTCCCGGATTTTAAATTCTCGCAGCCAAGGAGCGCAGGCCAGCAGGCGCCTCTGCGGCAGGTCGGCTGGAGTTTCGACGAGGCCCACCCCGCACTGGCGGAAGGCCACTACCTGAGAACCCCCCAGCAGAACAGGATGCTGGAGGACGAAAAGTGGCTCGTCGCCACGAACGCCAAGTTCGAGGCCCTGCGGAAGGAACGGGAGAGCAAGAAGGCATTCTTTGGAAACCTTAAAGTGCGGCGTCACAGAAAGCCCTGTTTTTGCGATCACGGAAACTTGAGTTCTTGTGCGGGAACGATTGGAGACTTTGCCAATATGCATTTTCTGTGATATGAAGCCATTGCGCGGCACTGCATGTGCATGCAATCCTGATAATTTCCGCTTCTTTCATGTACGAAACTGTGCAGAGCCCCTCGCGAGGAAGATATATAACGGAACGACAGCATGTTCCAGTGCAGTCCAGCGAATTCGCTTTTGCATAAATTCTGATTCTTGTGCACGGAATACGCCGCCAAATCCCCTTAGCATTGAGTATCTAATGATTTCTGCGGTTAATAATAGGAATGAGTGTGTTTGATTCTGCGAGAAAGCAAACTCCCATGAACTCGTGTGGACGGTTGGCTGTGCAACGGTTGCAACTCTGTTGGTCGCCACTCACGCGCTGATACCCACTTTTTGTGAATCTTAAAATGCGCTGTTTTCTTGATGGAAATGCGCCATTTCGTGTTGCCCTAGTGTAAGGCTTCAACGCACCGAGCGTGTGCATGGATCATAAAAGGTGTTAGCCTATGGCCTGCTGCAGAGGATGGCTTCCAGCGGTGGTCGGCAATCGCAAACCAGAGGGCAGAAAAAGAATGGTAGAACGCGCTGCATGTCAGCGCCCTGCGATATGGAGAGGGGAGGCGGTGGACGGACGAGCCACAGGTTAGGTACGACTACGGGGTGTTTCCATGCTGTACGTGATCCCGTGTCCTTCTGGCCGACACGCAATTAATGGAACCACCTCATCATCATCATCATCTCCTCGTTCCTTTTGTCGGTCTCCCTCGCAACAGATCCTCGATTCGTGAACCTATGTACGTTGCTTCTCCATTGCGGGCAGGCCATCGGGTTGCAGGTACAATGGCGGTATTCTGCCACGTTTTTGAAAATGGAGCCAAATGGGCCCCTTGTTTTCAAACCATTATTCTTGGAATTCATACGCAGAGTTGACGTCATGCTCGGATAATTATGATAATCGTGTTCGCGGAATGGATGCTGGAAATGTCCTTGGCTAGAAAGGAGTCTATGTAATTGGCTCCAGGAAATGCACGGGAAAATAAAGTGTTCACAGCACGAGCTTGAATTTTTGACGTCATGAAAACTGGCCATCGGATTGTGATGCGTATGCGGGGTTACTTGCTGCTTGTTATTTTCAATTTTCTGTACATCATTGCGTGCATGCGCACCATTCACAATTATGTTGGCCCCCTTGGCCACATAATGCTCTGTTCACTATCGACTTTCTTTCAGAGCTTCAAACAAATCCATGCATGAAAAAAGTCCTCAGGCAATATTATCAAATCAGTGCTCACCCATTCGCATATTCAGCGCACAGAATGTGCTGTCTCTGGAATCTTTCCCTATTCCATTCTGCCTCACGAGACTATTCCTTGCAGGAACCAAACGAGGTACGCCGAGAAAATAGCCAAGCTGAAGCGCAGCATCGAAGAGCTGCGAAAGGTCAAAACTGCGGATGGCGCGCCTCCTGCAGATTTCAGTGAGTGTTCTGACAACCAGGCGGGCGACCAAAAGGTAGAAATGATCCGTATACGAATCGTTCGCAAATGGGGCCGGACGGGGCTGGGGCTATGCATGCCGAAACCTTTTCTCTCAATAAGTTTTCCAATGCCTTGGCACAACATGCCATCAAAATGCTGGCCAGCGAGAGATAATAATACATCGTCAGCCATATGAGTGTGCTGCACATGCCTGTCACTTACGCATGACCCTGTTTTGTGCCTGCACATGAAATTAGCTCTCCCCATTCAGGCGCAATACTACCTCCGTCCAACAAATGTTGCCCGAATCCGTTTTCTTACATAACTTTTCAGGATCAACTCAACTAGTCAATTTGACACCAGATGCAAATTCGTTGGTTGATTTCCGATGGATGTGGACCACATTACGCGCAATCAACACCATACATCAAGAAATACAGAGCGTCTTGAAAGGACTCCCTGTCCATTGTTGCACACTTCCTGAGTTGCCTGTGTTGTTGAGCTTGCCTAATTCTCGTATGTTCCATTGTGGACCCTTTTCTATAAGGCACCAAGCACAAGGCAGAGTCTGTGATGGTCTCCACTTGATATCTATACCCCTTTTGGTGGTACCTACTGCTTTTTTCTGCCAGCTTCTCTTTGGACACATGCCGAATTCCAATATTCCCATTGAATTGATGGGCTGGATTCGGCCTAGTATTTGCCACAATGAACGTTGCTTTTGGAATGTGTTTATTGTGTTGGATTGTAGCAACATGATACTGTACCTCACAGGTGACCATCAAATAAAGCCAAGTAAAAATGCGCCATTGTGCATAATATCCATTTCAGCCTCATCAGCGAACATAGTGATTGGCAGCAAGAGGTATTAGAGTGGGTGAAATACGATCATCTGATGGACGGAACCATTTCACAATGTGAGGGCGAGGTGGGAGAGGTGTTGGGGCCACGAAGCAGCGTCGCTGCTCGTCGAGCTGGCAGTAGTGTCGGCGAACTCCCTATATTTCACCAACGCAAAAATGCTTCAATGTGGGCGGCAGTGTAGGCGGCCGGCGTATTAAGCCTTCTTGGGAGTAAGCCTTCTTATCATGTGGGAAAATCTTCATGAGCAATTGGCATTGGGGACTCAAGCAACATCGAATTCGTTGTAGGCACAGTGGCTTACCACAAATTCGTATATGAGCAATGCGCCATCTTTGTTATGGATTTGGCCCCCCTACGTTGAGGCGCTACTCAGGAAGGCAATTCGTCAGTTGCAAACTAAATCTCACAGACAGCCTCTACGCTATCCCCTTTGGAAGCAACAAGCACGGAAACGGAGAGAATGGCGAAGCGTTTATGAAGCATATTTCAGAAGCATCCCCGAGCCGCCGGCAAACACTCCAATAACATGCACCATATGCGCCCACATACAGGCGTTCTCTGAGATGGGCGACGCCTCTCCTTGTTGTATACTTGTGCTTACATGTTGTGAGACTGCTGTGCATCCCCGCCCAGGATGAAGATGTTCCAGCTGGGGGCGGCTCTGAGACAGATGATGACCATGCCATCCGCCTGGCCCATTTCACCTTTGATGAGGCGCGATTCTCTCAACATAGCTTGAGCATTTCGGAGGCCATGCGGGAGCGAGCGGCCCGCGGGTACCGCCTGGGGGACCTGGAGAGGGGCTACGAGTCTGACCTAGAAAGGGACAGGGAGGAGAGGCAAAGGGAAGAGACGCTGCGCTGTTCAGAGACAGTGAGAGACGCTGAGGAAGAGCTGATGAGGGAGAGGGAGGTGTGGTTTCGCAGCTTTCCACTTCCTACCTAAAACATTCCAAAGACACAGTTTTTTTTGCGGAAATGAAAAAGCCACAGTACATGGATTTTGGCGCACTTGGTTTCAATTGAACAATGGCCAATTGGCATCTCACATAAAACCGCTGGCATGGCATACTTTCGAAGCGGTGCAAAGTGCGCCACCCCAAGTCTCAACTGCGTTGGAATTGAAACACGATGTACTAGGGCTCCTGGCGAGACCACATTAAGCACCGGAAGGCGAGGGCTTGGAAATGTTTTGAATGCATTTGCCCTGTGCTTTTTGTGGCACAGGCAAAATGGGCCGATGACGACCGGTGGATGGACGCGTACCGTGTAGCACCCCCTCTGCGTGAGGAGAATTCATCACAGGCGGGCGCCCAAGTGGACGGCGCTTGTGGTCACCAGCCGCTGTCGAAAGGAGACCTCGCGATGCTGGACTCGAGCTTCATTCCCATTGCATCCCCTGCGCTGCGGTCTTTGGCCATGTCTGATGGCGAAGCGTATAGAATGTACTGATTTGGCAAAGGGTTATTGATTTTGAGTAAATGATGCGTGTGCTGGTGGCTGGGCAATAGATTGACGACGCATTGACGCATGCCTGGCTGATGTGCTGCATCGCAATGCAAGTGCAAACAGCGCAAACACAAGAGCAAGCAATTGAATGCGAGCTACAACGTCGGGAGGTTCTTGCCACGGCGCATTTCCCACAGGACAACACAGCAATGCATTTTGTACTGCAGTTGAAACATTCGCAGCTGATGGCTGGTGGATGTATGAGTCGATAGATCACTGCTCTAATCGTCTGCTTGTTGCATCCCTGCCCTGGGATTAGGACCATCAGCGGCCGCGACGCCAGCGGGCGCAAATTGAGCAGGGGACGGCCACGGTCCGCGAGCCGGCCCTTCACACCCACCCAGCAGAAGCCTTTCAGATTCGAGGAGAGGGCACGGGAGAGGCCCCGGACCATCATGGGCGTCAAGACGGAACAGGATGTGCACATCAAGAGGATGGAGGCGGAGGCCGCCCGCAGGGGGAGCTTCAGGGCGAACCCCATTCCGAAATCCACCAGGGAACCGAGGTCGGCTTGGAACGGCACTTCCTGCACAGCATTGCTGTAACCTTACAAAACGACGTTGGCAGTCCTCTCAAGGAGTCCTCAGGCTGACTGCTGTCGTGTCCACCACCGGCGAGCAAGTGATCCTTTTCACAAGCAATCTGCCAGTGCTTGAACTCTGCCAAATACTGAAAACAACTGTACTGCCAATGTTGTCTTTTGGCATGAATGCATTGGAATGGCACATTCGTAGCAGTTCAGCTACTGTTAGAGGGTGAATAGTGCGTACTTATCAGTACTATGAATACAGGGTACAAGGCGGAACTCAGTCATGTAGATGCGAGTTTTACTGGTGGAAATACGTCGCGGAATATCTGCGCACAAGCGCGCATGCTGTGTATCTTCTTAGGTGGTTTTGACTGCGGAATGGCGTGTTGCAGCAACATTACGGAGTGATTCTGTCTCCTTCTCGCGCCACATATCGCGACCATGATGGGACAAGTGCTGTCCGCCTGCACCTTTTGTAGTGTATTTCCTTTACCTCCGCCAAGGGTCAGTCAATCTTATCATCGGCTCAACGATGAGCGGAAACACTGCTCAGGCTGCAGCTGTGCCATATTGCACCATTTGTGGGGCAGCGGTATGCCGTCAGCAATTCCTCGAAGGAACCATGACTTGTTTCTCAGCAGCTTGTGGTCCGGTGCTGCCTGCTGTCAATTCGTACTCACCACCGATTATCGACTACAAGTCACCACATCAGCAGAGAGATACCTGCAGCATTCTTGCACATGATAATAGTGAATTCAAAGGCAAAGCACCAGCTAAACACTCCGCATGTGCACTGGCAAAACCCTCCAATTTGTTCGTCTCGGTATTCTGAAGCAAAGCTAAGTTTTGTAGCTCGTGCACTGGTGCTTAAACCTGATTGCGACGCTATTTCCACACGTTCATTCCTTCATTAGGTAAGTCTGACATCCGTCTCCTGCTCTACTGGCGGCGAACATTTGTGCCCTTGCTGAGAATGTAACAGCCTCGAAACTCTGAACTTGCAGCCCGGAGTCAGTTTGTCCCCAGCCTTCTGACATCCCACCCATCCACCCGCAACCGCAGGTTTGAAAACATCCTCTGGCAGCAGGACTTCCGGCGGCGGACCAACCACGACGCCGCAGTGGAGGTCTTGAACCAAATGCAGGCGCCCTTTTCGTTCTACGAGCGCGACAAGCTCGCGGCGCAGGAACGCAGCAGGCGGATGCGAAAAGACCCCAAGCGATTCCAGGTTCCTTTCAAGGCGAAGGATGTCCCCAAACACGTCAAAGAGGTGAGGAAAGACATGAGATCCGTAATCAAGCTGGTTCTGAAGCCCCCCAGCGTTCAACATGATGGCCATCCAACGTGGATGAAAGCACTGGGAATGAGTCCGACTTGCGCCATATGTGCTTGAGTCCTTGAGGAATTGATCAATTTTCGCGCGTAGCCGCCACCGCTGGGCTGAATGAGGCGGGTGCAAATCCACAACACCTGCACAAACATGGCAATGACTTTGGCAGAGAGTGCCACAGTCCCAATCGCTAACACCACGGATAGCGAGATGGCCATTTTAAACTGAAGTGCACACATTGCATGTTGCATAGATGTCCGCCTCGTCCGTTTCAATCTGGTGCTGCGACACGAAACCGAGGGCGCTAATTTGCCATCCATCGCCCGTAGGTGCCCAGGTTCCTCATGATAATGCCAACAGCTACAGCCACAAAATACTGCGCACATACACTGCAAAAGAGGCACAGTGGGGCCTCTCTGCTCTCAGCGTCTTCTCTTCTGTCAGGTGGACAACACTGGGGCCACTTAGGGAATGAGTTCCCCAGCTGTGGAAATATTTTCGCTGAGTGTGGGTGCAGTATGATCATCATCGCTGAGGGAGATGTGCAAATTGCAAAAGCGTAGTGCAACTCGCTTTCATTGGAATTGCAAAACAGGGGCGCTACAGTTTGTTGCTCGCTGAGGCTGAGGCTCGCAAAATTCGGGCAAGGGCCGTTGCCAGGGAGAAGCTCGCAATAGTGCAAATGCCGCCGCGAATGGAGGCGGCGGAAAGAGAACAGCGAGCAGCCAAAACTGCCTCGGACCCCAAGGCCCGGTCCAGGGGGGTCGACCCTGCCTGGAATACGAAGTATCCAAGCCGCAGGCTGGGGGAGGTGCCAGACTTCGCCGCCATGCACATGCAATGGGCCCAGCGGCAGGCAACGGCACGGTCAGCCAACAGGGCAAGAGTGACGGTGCCACAGGTGGGCTGGGCCATAGCCCACATCGCAAAAGCGACCCATATGCGCACGTGGCGGAAGCTGGGGTTGTTTTTACAGGAAGCTCACGTTCATAAGCAGCCGGAAGCAAGGGCTGGGAAGTCACTGCCTAATGGTGCACTGCACTGCATTCGTGCTGTGATGGCGCAGGCAATCCACAATTGCAACTGTGGCGGTGAAAAGGCCAGGAATATCAACACAAAATTGTATGTATCCATCGTGCACTGCAGGTGGAGCACACAGGTGTACTGACTCCCACAGCACAACACTTCACTTCCCCCCAGGATATGCCCAAGCCGCATCTGCTGTTCACCATGACTGAAGACCAAGGCTCTCCCAATCATGAGACCCATTTTATTGCACATTGTCATGAAGACTAAAGTTCAGAAGCATTAAGATACAAATTCGCGAACGTTCCTGAGCTTTTATAACGTGCTTGCAGGTATTGTGCACAGCCCTGTTTGTGAGCGTACTACGACACGCAATTGCATCCGATGTCATTAAAACGCGAGCCTGCTTTCTTGGACACCCCTTGCCTTTTGTCAACCCTGATCCTCGTTCCTTCACTTGCCCCAAATCCCCACAGGGCCCATATTTCAGTGGCCGTGGCGCCAAGGGCGACGCACAGCATCGGAGGCGCATCCAAAACGACTCCCAGTGTCACGATGAGCACCTCCCTGAGCAGAGGTGGCCGTTTGTGAGCTCCAGGAGGAAGGTGCACTCCACGCCGCCGCCAGACTTTTCCTTGGAGCCCAGCTTCAAGGTGTCTGACACAAGGGCCAACCGGCTCAGGGCAAGGTCGATCAGGAAGCTGAGGAGGAGGGGCAAGTATGCATCCCAGGAGGAGAGGTGATCACGGGCCACCACTCACGAATCCCAATCAGGCCTCAAGGCAGTTGGCACCGCTGGTAGTGCTGTCAAGACACCTTCAAGGAAATGACATCAGCAGCTTCAATCAAGATACTTAGATGGAATCAGAAAGATCGTTGTTGCTAAGTGTCTTCAATCAACAAAATGCCGTGGATTTGCCCTGCCGCAAGGTGTTCCGGGACACTGTGACCAGACAACTATGGCAACAACGCGCATGACCAACAAGCGACTAAAATAAGGTGCTGTGGCTGCCAGCATTCTACTGAATCTTGGCATATGAACCAGTCATGGAATTCTGCATTGCAGGGAGCTCATGGAAGCAGAGAAGTTGCGGCGCGAGTCAGAACGTCGGGCCAAGCTTTACGTTCGGATGCAGCAGGCCAAGGCTCGTAGCCTGGGCCTCACACCCGCGCCGCCTACCGCAACAGAGAAACACACTCTCCAACAGCCTGAACCAGACATCAGCAGCAGGGAACCCAAGAGGGACCTTGAGAATCGCAAGGACACGCCCGCACAGCACATAAAGGCAAGGCACAAGCAGGTGGAGCAGCAGGCGAGGGAGATTGTAGAGGAGGTGCTTCTCGAACAGGGGCTGGATGTTTACAAGTACATGGAACAGTGAATACCCACCGGGTTGAGGCGGCCAAGGCATGGCTACTAGCTGATCCACAACACAAGCGACAAGGAAGGGCAGTCTCAAACGGGGCGAATCTGTTTCAACAAAGAAGGTTTTGCTGTTTTCTTCTAGGTACTGCTGTGTTCGTAGGTGTGCCCATGCTGACAAAGGGCTCTTCCATTCATTCTGCACAGCTTCCCCATCACAAAAGTGAAAAAATATGGGAGACAGCCACAGCTAGGTTGTAGACCAAGTTCACCCAAGCAAGTTGTTGTGGTGCTGCCCATAGCATAGAGAAACACAAGGACTAGAGGGTCGGCACAGCATAACACACAATCTGGCGTGCTTGTAGAAGAGCCTTGTGGGACTGGAGTTCCAACAATTGTCAACACTGTTTAACGAGTTTTCAGGTGGTACACCTTCTACAAGCTCATGAAGCCAGCCTCAACAGTTCAAAATCTTCCTGAACAATGCAAGGGATACATGACGAACGACGCTTGCCCCCTGCCAGCTTCAAAGTTAGCAAAACAGACTAGCCTGCTATCGAAGGTGAGCAGGCCCTAGGTTCGCCTGCATGCTCATCTCAGTCTCAGATGACACTGGCATCGTTGATGTCAGAGATCTGCCAAACTGAACATTTTTGAGGTGCTCTTGAAGCATAGTCTACGGTAAACTTGCAGAAACACGACAAAGCAATGCTCTTGTTCCCAAAAGACGATGTCAGGCCTCTAACGTCCACACAGATATGGTCACACATAGATCAAAGTCCATGTGCCACTGTGAAGGAGATGACCGGACTGATATGTCAACCTTGAGCCTAGACCCATTCTCCTGATTCTGACAACAGGGCAGGGGACATTCTCTTCCAAGCATCCAAATTTCTACTTGCCAGATGGTATGTCCTCTGCTCAGCTTCAGGGCTGCGGCTGATCGGACTGTGGGACATCTGTTGCAGCAACTGTGTGCTTGTGACTGAGATCGTTGAAGACAGCTGGACTGCCCCTTTGCCAGCCTGTTCATATCACAACTGTGCTCAAAATACATTCACATCAATGAATTCTCTGCATACCAATCGAGGTGCCCAGACTGCACAAACTGCTTCCATTCAATTGAACAAGGACACTGCATTCTGGCAATTCACCTGGGAAGCATGCCACTACAGCTGCATTCAACTTTTCAAGCTGTCAGAGATCTGAATGGGGACCCCTGGTTCGCATTCTCCAACTCAGTCATGAAATCCATTCACTGGATTCACTGCATTCACAGCACACATGCTGAAATGTCCTAGGTCTGTGGGCAGTGCTGGTACATCCCAGAGGATGCAATCGTGTGTGCCCAAAGTAAGAACGCTAACAGGACAGAGCAAGTGGTGAGCCAAGCCGGGCCCCCCACAACTATTGTACAGATGCCTGCTCTGATGCAGTCCTTGATGGTTGGCCTGAGGATCATACTCCAATGAAGTAAGGAAGATTGTACCAAGAGGACTGGTGAGTGGCACTGTTACAACACAGACAAAGAGCACGTTGCTCTGTTGGAGTAACTTTGGGAGTTGAAACCAATGGTGCACATCTTATGTCCTGAACAAAGACCTGCTGGAAAGAGGCGCTGGCATCACCTGATTCATATGATACGTTTTCAGCATTTGTTGGTTCCCTACTTCTTGGGAGTGCACTGCACTGATAGTATGGATGCCTCACAAGAATTGATCAAGCCACCTATGGTGCACTGTGGGGAGACCCCATCCCACAGTGCTGTGCTGACCAAACAGTGCCAAATTGCTGGACTTCCGAAATGGACACTCACCACAGACTTCAACCTTTGGCAAAGCATCATTGCCCACTCTCCCAACCACCTGACCAGTGAGGAGAAGTTTTGTCCGCCATCTTTCAACTTGCCCTACCACCACCAGACCTCTACTATTTTGTTGCTGCTATTCTGCGCTTCCTCAGCTGGTCAGCTGCTCATTTTTGCTGCATACAAGCTTGGAGTGCCATAATGGCTGCATCACTGCCTCCAACCAATCGTTTGAGATCTTGAGTGATCCAGAAGAGGTGCTCTGGGTCAAAGTCCTGCAACCTATTTGGCTTGGACATCTCTCCAACTAGGAGGTCAACAGATGCAGCATCCCTGAAGCCAACAAGACGCATGCTCTTGAAGATGTCAGAAAATCCATGTGGCCCCAGCTTCTGCAGCCGTGGGACCCTAGTCAGCTCACCCACAATCTCATTCCAAACACGCTCATCATCATATCCCATGTGAGCAAGGGAGTACAATATGCCAGTCAACCCATGCTCAGTAAAGCTGCGAAGCCCCTGGTCAGAGAGTACAACATCAATAAGGACCTCTGCAAGACCCTCATCCCTCACATTCAACATTCGCAGTGCTGTGAAAATGTGCAACACTTCTGATTGCCGTAGTTCCGATGTTCGGTCACCTTCAAGCAATTTTGCACAAAAGGCACTCACAGCCCGCCTTGATGGCTGTCCGATTCTTGCCAAGCCATGTAGGACCACGGCAACATCACCTTGAGAGAAGCTGTGTAGCCTGTGAGGGCGCAGCAGCTCAGATTCCAAGTAGGACAGAGATAACTTGTCAAAACTTGTAAAGTCTCTGGTGTGTGGCAAACTTCCAAAGTTGTGCACCACATTCATAAGCTGCCGTCGTTCGAACTTCCTCAGGCGGCTGGGAGTGCACACCTCATGCAGCACTAATTTCACGGCTGGCTCAACTGCAGATATCCTGGCCAGACCCAAGCTTGACATCAGGGCAGAGAGATCCACAGCATTCAAGCTGATCAATCTGGCACGCTGGGCTGCCTCTTGCACCACAGGCTGCAGTTCAGTGGTAGCAGCTAGAGGATCATCCAGCTTCTGACAGCGGTACAAGACATGGATAACTCTTGCAAGGTCTCCTGTCGACAGCCTGGACAGCCTGGATGGTGTGCACACCTTCTTGCACAGTGCACGGATAGCATCCCTGTGCTGGGGTAGGTGCTGGCACTGTTGAGTGGTCCAAATGCACAAAACTGACACGAGAGCGCTGTCTGAAAGATTTTCCTCTCCCTTCTTTTCAAGCAATGAATCAACCATCTTGCTTACAAGTTGAGGTTCTTGTGATGCAAGCCTAGTGATCGCCTTCAATGCCAACGACTTTTGTTGATCAGAGAATACAATCACGTCCTGTCTTCTGCAGAACTCTTGGAACAGCATGCCTCCCACATCGCTGAGCCCATGCTGGGCTGCAATCCCCAAGACAACAATGAAGTCAACCCCAGTGTAGCTTGCCAGCCGCCCTGGCTCAGACGCCTCCTTCAGAGCCGCCAGACAGAACTTCCTCATGCTGCCCAGCTTTGAGGCCAGTCTCGACAAAGACACCACCACCGCAAACAGCTGTGCCTTGTGGAACGCTCCCATCCTCTCTGCGTCCGTCACCTCCGCACACAACACATCCAGCACTGCCTCGTCCTTGAACCCCAGCTTCTCCAGGCCACACAGGGCGTTCGTGAGCTGGCCGTCCTCCAAGTGCGCAGCCCTGTTGGGGCACGACACCATCGCTACCACCCCGTCCACCAGTCTCTGGTCCTTGTGGCCAGACGCTGCCATGAAGGACAGCAGCCTGGGCAGGTTGGCCTCGATGCACTTGTCCCTCTCCCTGAACAGCAGCAGCTCATCGCAGGCCACCTTCAGGAGCATTCCCAGCATCGACCCCTCTCCATGCCCCATGCCTTCACCATCTAATTCCCCCAGTTCTCCCCCAGCCACAATCCCACAACTCTCACTCACCTGATCCAGCCCCTGCACTCCCTGTAACGGATCCACCCCAGAATCACGCCGTGTACCAATTTCTCCATCCTTCTCCCTCTCCCCGCCCCCTCTCCCTTTCCCTTTCTCATCCACCTGCTCAGGCTTTCCTGCCCACTCTGCCCTCTTTCGCCGTTTCCCATTCTCTCTGCCACCAATCCCGTCCTTCCCCCTCCGCGTGAGCACGCACACCGCCGTGATCAGCGCCGTCAGCCGGTCGCTTCCCATCTCCGCCGCCATCCGTTTCTCCACTGCCCTCCGCGCCAATCGCCCCAGCAGGCCGTGTCTGAATCCCATCCTCGCGCATGCCTCCAAAACTCCCGCCACGTCGTCCCCGCCCGCCGACCCAACCGTCCTGAGCCCCGCCTCCGCCACAGATCTCATCGCCTTCCTCCCCTCGTCGCGGCTCATCTGGGCCAGCCGGCGGAACGCTGCCGTCACGTGGCGCGCCTGCACGCCGGGCCCGATGCCACGGATCGCGCGCGCTACATCGCTGGGCGTCTTCAAATCTCGCATCGCCACGAAGCCGGCCGTCGGCTTGGCAGGGGGGGCCATCGCTCGCCGCCATTCTCGATCCGTCCAGCCGGGGGCCGTGGGGATGGCGGGGTGGTCCGCACCATGGGGGGATGGCTCGATGAACGGGGCACTTGGGATCAGCTGCCAGTCGCCTCCCCAGATGTCCGTTTCTTCGGCGTCCGGGTCCCAGCCGACGGGGTGCGAGGCCAAGGGGCGAGGATTGTCGACGGTGAGGGCCCCTGGGGATCAAAATCGAGTGGGCGACGAGAGTGGAACAATGGCAACCCAGGTTGGTGGGGCCAGGGCGTGCCAGTAAACAGAGATGAGATGGGGGCGGCGGTAGGAAGGGGGGAAGGGACTCACCGGACGCTGGCCGCCAGAGTCGTTGAAGGCGGCACTTCCTGAAGGCCCGCGCCAGGTGCTTAGGGAGCATCGGCGGCAGCGGAGTCGTCGTCGCCAGAGGTGGGTGTGTCTTGGCGGCCACTCGCAACGAGGCCGTATCCGATACACCGATACCCAATGCACCGATATGCAGTATCCGATACGGACCACGCTCACGGAGACGATGACTCTGGCCGGAACTGATTGAGCACTCTTAATAGCTGGACACATTAAGAAGTGATGCGACAGTAGGAACCGAATCAAGGACACGTATGAGCGGACAGGATATAAGGGACAGAGACGTGTTGTCCCTTTGCTCCGCTGCAAACCATTGCCTTGCACTCGAGCCTGCGGTTCCCAGTCAGGGGTCGCACCCTCGACCCTGCCTGCTTTCGCCAACGCCTCCTGCCCCAAACCCTAACGGCCAGCCGCCCTTTCCCAAGCCGTGTCCGAGTCTGTCGCCGCCCCCACGTGCGTGGTTGTGCTGGGAACAACGTGGGTGTGGTGCGGAATAGAATTCAAACATAAAAAAGGCCGGGGACGGGTGCCAGAATCTGCAGACGCCATGAGCATGAATGTCGCAGGAATTTTCGTGGCGAAGCCTGGCGGCAGATCGACGTTGTGCCGTCTCCCCAATGAGATTTTCCCTAATCCTGTTAACAATTGCTTCTTTAACCCCACAAACTGCAAATGTCCATCACTAGTCACTGGGCCGGGTTACCCCATAGGAGCCCCATGCATGCAATGCGCAAGGCTCCGAACTTGTCCTGTTAGGGAATTCTATTTGAAGTCGCACAGCCGTGGCTCGTCACCGTGCCACGTTGCAGGCGCACTTCGGTCCTGCAATACGACTCCATTGCTGGCTGTCCCGAAACGCATGTCGCCCACCCGATGAAGTGCCCTGTCCTTTGCGTCCCCTGCCACACCCCACCAAGCTGTGAGCCGCAGCTGCCATCCAACCTCACGGCACGCGACACAGGCCCATTGTCTGCCTCGGCACCCAAGGAGCGCAGCAAGCCATGCGCTCAAAGCTGTGAGGCAATAACTGTGTCTCCAAAACCATCACGCCGTCTGATTGATTTACAGCTCTCAACAATTTGCAGCTGTCAACGGAGAGCTCGCAGCATTTGTCATTTCGTCGTCTGTCCCCCACTTCAACCGCCGGAATGCCCCATCCCCGATGACTAATACTCGGGGCGCCGACAAACCTAGCCCCGGTTTCCCACCGCTCCACCTTCCCGCCACCCGCGCACCAGAAACTCTGCAAGAACGACGTTGGGCGCATCCAGAAACGCCCTGCGGTGAGCTCCCCGGAAGTCCACCCGCGCGACACCGACGCCGGCGGCGCGGTGGTTATATATTTCGAACCTCGGAGCTGGCCGTCCTGCCTGGGAGGACGCCACACAAAAAGGGCCCAATAACGCTTGGGGCCGAGCGTCGGTTGCCGCGCTGTGCCGCTGTTGCCCAAGGCTGGTCTCGTCACCGAAGGGACTCGTCCTCGACCTATCGAGCGAGTCCTTTTCCCCAATCCATTTCTTGCAATCCGACGTAGCTAAGCAGAGTTACAGAGCTACAGAGATGAAGGCGACAGTTCTGACCCTTGCGGCGGGCGCCCTGCTGCTGGCGTCGCTGACCGGCGAAGTGGGTAGGTGGCCGTGTGCCGCGTCCGCGGTCCGACACAAGATTTGTTTTCGCGGGCGGTCCTGCTGTGTCCACTGTGCGTGGAGTGGATGGATGCAATTATGCTTGCTGGCATGGCGGCCGATGGTCATAGTGGGGGCACCGTGCCGCTTCCGGCAGCGTGACGCGCGTTGAGCATTTCGACCCGACGGGCTCCACGCCGTCTCGTGTGCGGTCGATGAGAGCTCGGCGACACGGCGATGGGTTTCCGGGGCACAACATTGCGCCAGAGGAGCAATGCGGTTTTGGTGTCGGAGCCAGTTTTCCGGAAGTTTGGAATGCGTGCCGGCTTACAGCGAGGACCTCAACGACGCGGATCCTGGGGACGTCCGTTCTCCCCCACCATCCCACCGCCCACCGCCAGCGTCCTGTCCTGTGGGCCAAATGTTCCATCAATGCCGTTCTACTCAACTTATTCATGGCAGTGCCACCGCTCCCCGAAGCCACATTGGCAATGCCGCCGCCACCATCTGGTACAGAAGGCTTGCCTACACACTGCTGCGCCAGCCATTTGCACCTTGTTCTGCAACTTGCTATGATGCATCCATATCGGTACAGGCGCCATCGATGCCACCGTCACGGACCGGCGCCACTGTCGCCGTTCCGTCAGTCTCTAACGCCGTTGCTGCTCCTCCGCAGGGTGCACCAGACCAGGCGTCCAGCTCGGGGGCAGGATGCTGCAGCAGAACGGCGGGCATGGCCGCCGGGGAGGTTCCAGAGCGAGCGGCCACTCGGCATCCCTTGCGCAATCCATTGTGAGAGTCGGTTGCTCTGTCGAACTATGGCGGCTGAGGAGCTGTGGTGTTGTTGGCATGTGAGACTGTTAATGTGGCCCCTCAGCACGAAGTAGAAATGAGCAGGTTTTGGCTCCGTGAAGACACGGCAGGAGGCGCAGAGCCAGAGCTCATTAAGTCTCTGATGTACTCGTAATTGGGCATTTTGAACGTTGGGCTAGGCCCTTTCACATGCCAAAATATGCTATGCAGAACGCGTGCGCATAACAATGCGCTCAACGTTTACAGCAAACACAGAGACATTGAAGCGGCTGTGCAGAAGCGCTTGAGCTCTGGCGCTGTCCGCATGACAAAGTCGGGCAGGCCATGGAACACTCGGGAATCTTCGACGCTGCAGTGCGTGCTTCCACGGCGCCGACAATGTATCTATTGTAAGTTGACGTTCTCTGTGTTTCCGTTTCGCAGACGTTGGAAGTGGACGCTATCGCTTCATCCGTGGCCGAGGCCGTTGCTGTGGTGGTAAATGGAGGAGATGCCACTGCGCAAGCGCAGTCTGTCGCACAGTCCATTGGCCTTGCATACGCCGCCGCGATTTCTTATGCCGATACGGCAGTTGAGGTGGAGGGACAGGGGCAAGCGGTGTCTGATGCGAGGTGGGTGCGCCCAGCAGTTCCGAGTGCCCGCTGTGTCCCTGGTGTCCCACGCTGTTCCAGGACAACTAATTTTTCTGTCATCACGGCAGTATAGTGACCCTACAATGGGACAGGTAAATCCGCTAAATTGAGCCTGCACAACTTTGTCATTGGTTCAACTTTGTCATTGGCCGTGGCGCACATTCCGTACATCGGGCTCCGTCGCAAAATTGTCAGTTGCAAAGAATGGCAGAGAGGCTATACCATTCCTGCAGATGATCAGTAGGCAATGAGCATGAGTTAATGCCACTGGGACAGTACGTGCGGCGTGTCGGTGTGGAGGCACATGGCATGATGTACAGAGCAGATGATCAACGCGCAAATCAACTTTTCACCATTTTTGGGTAGTTGGAATTGTTGTACAGCGGTGCTTGAGAACGCATTCGCTTATCTCAACGGGAATCTGCGAAATTGCGGCTGAGACGGTCATTCTAAAATCTCCAAAACTGAATTCCATGAAAAATATAATTATGGATGGATTAATGATTGTCAATATTCACATTTGTCATTATAACTTACATATGTTTGAGTGATTATTGGTCAATGAAACTGTAATACTCCCAGAGAGAACCTGACGCATCACTTACTGAAATACATCCCACTCACTGTATAAGTGTTAGATCATCTTGGCTATACGACAGCGGGCGCGTGTTGTGGAATACATTGGGTAGTTGGAAGAAATCACCTTTTTCTACAAGTTTTTCGCAAAGCAAGTTTTTCCTACTGTGCTGCCTTGCAGATAAATACTTCAAACTTTTTCATTACATTTTTCATGTTTCCTGTCGATCACTATTTTTTCGTGGTACAAAATGGTGCAGAGAGAAGCAGCGGCAACCACCAAATGTGTGTTTGGCAACTTCGTTTACCCACATTTTTTGCTCGCTTCCCAAAGATTTATCCATGGCCAGTTCAGGAGAATGTCTCAACATATTTCATGGAGACTCCGAGATTGCGCTGTCTGCATTCTGTTTCCAGGAGTTCAGCATTTGTTTCTTAATTCCATAACCCATTCGGCTCTGGTGATAAAGGCCAACACGAAAGGAATCGGCTGTGATGCGGATTCACAAAGCTCCCAAATTTTCCTGAAACAGGCTGAAAATGACCATAATCGGGATTGGTTACATTTTCAAAGAAACGCTAACCCCCTGGTGCTGTATGTCGATCCTTACAAAATGAGCCATGCACAGGTATGACACAGAAAAACCTGGCAGACGCCATGGTATACAAATGCCTGCAGCCACCTTCAATCCGCAAGGGAAATTTCCCATAAGAAAATTGTTTTCAATGTATTCCATCGCTGTGCGACCATGTGGCTTTGTTTTTGGTCTCGCAGTGCGGAATCCTATGCCGTTGCGAGAGCCACCGCCTACGCCATCGCGCGAGGCCTTGCTACCGCCATCTCGGACAATGCTGCCGCCTACGGAGATGTGTATGCCGAGTCCCTTACTGTCGGAATCGCCGAGGCTGCGTCCAGCGCGAGGGCAACCTCGGCCACCACGGGTGGATCTGCTCACGCCACACAGGAGAGCGTTGCCGTGGCTGTTGCTGTTCCCATTGCAACTGCGCTCGCCGAAGCTTTTGCCTACGCGGCCGAAGGTGCGCTGGATAACTAAAATTTACTAGCAGAGAACAGCATTTTTGCGATGCCACCTGCGATGCCATTTTGCCACTAAGTGGCGCCATCGCAATGACTGCGATGGCATAAAAATAGCTGCGATGGCATCAACTAGGGCCAAATTGAACCACGGTTGGCATCGCAAAATGTCATTCTTACTGGTGATTGTCGCATCGCTGAAAGCAGCTCCTGGCTTTCATCAGATGCACAGGAGACGTGATGTTGGTGGAGCCGCAGAGCTGCTCCTTGGAAACAACGTTACCTCTCACACCAATATGCAAAGCGCAAAGGAATTTCCGAGCTCGTGAATGGCAATTTTCACCGCATATGTTGTCGCATGTTCATGATATTCAGTTTCAGGGCCGCGTGGCAAACAGGCGATGCGAATTCTGCACCATTCGCCATTCAGTGCTATTGTCTGAGCACATTGCTGAGGAAGCGGCACCAAAAGTACTCCTGCACTAAAAAAGGACCAAATGACACTTTTTTCGAGCACATATATACGCATTTTATCAGCGTTCTGCATGTTAAGACACGGAAATAACACAAACCCGTAAACTTTGAACACGCGTTATTCAGATCTTTTTTCCTGGTGCTAAGAGCACGCTTGCGACGTATTTGGCTCTTTTCGAAACATCTTGAACTAGTAGGAAATTTAAATAAGGGGCAAATTCGCACAAAGCATCAATTTCCTGTCAGTGATTACCGACGCCCTGGCATTGGGGTTGCAGGTGGAGCGGTTGCCGCAGTGAATGCGGTTGCCCAGACCGAGGTCGAGGAGCAGGCATTCACGGCGACCAACAGCGACAGCGGCGCTCAAGCGGACAATGGGCAGCAGTCCTTGGGAGTTGCGGAGGGCGACGCCATCAGCTTCAGCGGTGTTCTTGGCGACTACGGGAATCTGCTCGGAGCCGGCAGCGGGAAGAGCGGCGGGGGATCCAACGGCTGCTGGCTTCAGAGTTACTGGAGCCGCTGGTGCCGCAAGTAGAAGAGGTGCGCGCACTGACGGGGTAGTTGAGAGCCGAATGCCCGTTCGGGCGAAGCTCTCTGGGGGCGCCTGCATCGTGATTGTGTCCAGGGAAGTTCGAAATGTGTTAGCAATGCATTCCGTTATGAAGCTGAGCCCGCCTATTTCAGAAACATGTGCACACTTGGAGTACTTGGAGTACCTTGGAGTACCTTGGCAATGCCGCAGGGATGTCGAATATTTTTCTGCGTTGCGTTATTGGCTGGCAGCAATTGATGCTCAACATGGCTGAAGCAATAAACCCGTTTTCGAAGACATCTCATGTCATACCCCTTCCGATGTTTAGCACGGTTTTGATCCATGGTGTCACAATCATGTGATTCACACTAGAACGCAATGGCCTGCCTTCCCATGCTATTGCCCGTTGCTCAATTCACCTTTACAGGTACGAAATGGCCACAATCTCATCTTATGATGGTCCGTAAGTATCCTCCAAGTGCCCTATCAATTTAAAATTCTCTACATGGTCCACGATAACTGCACTGTGGCAAAATTTCCACTTAGAGAGGTGACCTGATGTGCTTGCGTCATATGCAGTATGAAGCGTCCTGGAATAAATATTCCTGCAGCACTGCGAGATTCTTGCAACGGAAAATTGAGTACTCGTGCATTCTTTTGCTAGGATCGCGGAGCCTCTTCATTGAGGAGCACCGGGAATGGATAACCAAATGAGGGTGGCGGAGGTGCAGTGCAGGCTATATTCTAATGGGCGCAATTCTAAGGGAAGAGGAGCAGGCGGTCGATGGCAACAAATGCAAGCAATAACGGAAGCCGGATTGCAATGAAATTGCCCGCACGCGCGTCTTTCGATAGGTGGAAATTTGTGGACATTTATGGAAACTTTACTTGAATAACCGGCCTCCCGTTGAATCCATAAGCACGCCGGGTAGTTATTTTGGAAGAATGTCTGTTTCGAGCTCTCTTATGGGCGGCGGGCGCCGCATGTGGGGGGGCAATGGCGTAAGATGGGCAGCGAGGTCAGGAACCGCGGTGATCGATCCGATGGCATCTCAACGACATTAGCAAGGGAAGGTGAAGCCGAGCGACGTGTGTTGGCTGCGATGAAGAGAGATGTCCGATCGAGGAGCACGCTCTGGCGCAGAATTTTTTGCTCTTCTAGAAGGCTCGGAACGGGATGCAACTTGCCTCACTCGGTGTGCCAGAAGATTTACCTCCAGATTTGTCGGAGCAAGTGAGAGCGCTGTTGGTTTGCTCCCCTGGATCTTGTTCGCGCGCCAGGTTGAAAATTTCTTCTGGGTGTGTTTTCCACTAAATTCTTCCATATTTTAGGGGAGAAAGCGGCAACCTTTCGCGGCCGTCGTTTTGATTGAACTGGAATTGAACTTGACGTTTCAATTGCGCACGGGCCAGAGCCGCAGCCGCAGGGCGTGTGCGCCGGCGGCGGCAGCTGCGCTTAATCGAGGGTGGATTTGTGGATCGATTTGTTCTTGCTTCGGACTGACGTGTTAAAAATTGTGGCATGGATTGGTGGCGAATATTGTCAATTTACTCGGCGGTCCACGTCATCAGCGAGCACCTCATCCCTCGACATCGAGGAACCTTTAACTCAAGAAAGGGAACCTGCCACCAGGAATAGAATGGATAAGCACATTGTGTTGCCAATCTATAATACAGTGCTACAAGTACATTTCCCTGCTTGTCATGTAGAACCGAAAGAATTTCACAGAAGAGGGACATTTCCTTTGTTGAGCGCCTGCTCTAATCTGCATATTTGGAGGAAAAAGATACCATCTCGGCAAAGGATATAGCGTGAGGCGTGTTCTCGGCGGGTAAACCGTCATAGCCGGGATGCAAAACACTCTAGATTTGCTCCAATCCTCTAAAAATCGTGGGTATGCTGTTGCTGAGTGAACTCTATGCAGATACTCTGTGTTTCAAGGAAGATTAGATGCAAGAAAGATCGAATGTCTCGCCATCCGTGGTTGCAGTTTTTGCAATCCGGCAATATTGTTTTCAAGTAACCCACGTTTCAACAGGCTTGTCGCTAAGGATCACGAGGAGACAGCCATTACAAACAGATGCAATTCGCGGTTGTCCCTTCAGGCTTCTCTAGCCCAACATCGCCTCTAAGTTGCAAGGGCAGTGTTTTGTCATGTTTATGTGACAAATGTCATCAAATGATTTGAGCTTCTCCCTTGAACACTTCTCAGATGTCGGATGATGACACCCGCATTGTCTTTCTTCTCTGCTTGGCTCATGGTGGCGATGCGAAGAATGCAACCACTTGATACATCTGCACCGAATTGCAAGTGAGGACCTGCCATTTTCAGCAGACGCGTTACTGGCCGATAGTCACATTATGGTTCTGGTAACGTTTGAAGAGATCCATGAATCCTAGTGTGATCACTCGTAAACTCCAGGGACCCATTGCTAAAGAGCGCGAATTTCGAAACACGAACCAAAATTCCATTGAGAGGGTCACACACAATCTCAGAAGTCCCCTCAGGCCACATTTTGAAATTTCTTTTCTTCTCTTGAATTCCCTTCCCGACATGATTGAGCGGTCCAATTTAACACTATACTCAAACCTTCAAAGGTTAATTTCACCAGCTGGTCCGCAATCCAGCCATCACAAATTTGAGAAGCCCGTTGCAGTGACGGCAACATGAGGTTTCGGTAGAGCATTTTAGCATCTGGAGGTTGCAAAAGAAATCCCCCCATTCCATGATCCTCTTTGTCTAGCTATGCAAGTCAGGCATCTCCATCATTGGAAGCTCTTATCCTTTTGAGGAAACCATCTTGCAAAAAGTTCCATTTGAAATTGAGAGGATTGATAACATGACTGGTATCTGCTGCAATTAATTCACCACCACACACTGTTTTCAATATTTCAAAGTTGCGGAGATCGCCAATTGACACATCAGAGTACACATGACTGAGGAAGAATCTCCGCCGCGACTTGAAACATTCTTTGACATATTGTGTAGAGCTTTGTTCTGAATCTTCCAGCTTCGAATGGCTCTCAACCTGTCCACAGCTGCGTTGTGCACGCTTCTTCCACGCCAGAGCACGGGATCAGTTTTCCACCATAGTGAAAACATGATTCCCGTACTCCTTAACACTGCTGTTACTTCTGGCGGCACCCTGGCGCCCTCCGATATGGTGATGACAGAATTCTTTTTAAATTCTTCGATGCTTACCAATCTTTCATGACCCCAATCGACTGGAACGAGCTCCTCTCTGAAAAATAAACTTCTTCATTTGCTTTTGATATCAACAAACTCCTGCTGGATTACGTGTTTCTAAAACCTTAAAATCCAATCAAGGTCCTTGTCCCAAGATATGTCTTCTGGAATGCAGGCAGCGACGGCGTCAGCTGCTGCCTCACTGATGTTGTACATGCGATTTGGCCACACTGCCTCTGGAAGAGCACAGGAAAATACAATATCGGTGTGCAGCCTCTGCACCATCTCTTGCTTCCCTTTGAGTGCATTTCGCAGGATAGAGGGGGAAAGAGTTCTCCAGACCTTTCCGCGCTCTCGGAGCTGCTTCCAGTGTTGTGGAGGCCACAAGTCCCGACAGCATGGGCCCGACACCAATGGCCACGACACCATGTGCCCAGGCAGCATGCTGACGTGATGAAATCCGCACCACAGAATGGCGATTGGACAGTGTCTGGCGCGGCGTTCGCGACAGGCCACCATGCAGCGCTTACTGAGATGATAACGAGGTGATCCCCGTTGCCTGCAATGAACAACGGCTGTATGCTCTTTGGTGAATGTGATGGGCGTGGAGGCGACGGGGGTGGAGTGTTTGTTGACATGATAGTTGGATGGATTCACAGTCAGGTCAGGACGTGCTTCTGGGCGTCGTGTTCAGAGCGCGCCTCTCACAGTTCTCATTCTTTGAACCTCGTTGCATTTCACCGCGGTAGCTTGTATCGATTATGTTCACCAGTGGAAACTGACGTTCTTGCGATGCAAACTGCGGTAAAATTGGACACTAATTGATGGCATCACACCCGCGTTTGTGCCATCGTAAGGACCGTGATGGCGCCACTTTGTTTCAAAATGGCATCGCAGCTGGCATCGGCAAAATGGTGTTTCCTGTTAGTGGTTGTTATCGTCAGTACGAATATTGTCGTGTCTCGATGCCATGCGCGCAGTTGACACACTCAGACCTCACATCAACAGTAATGGAGAAGGACGTGCCTTTGTGGCTTTTAAACATTGCAATCGATCAGATCATCAACAGCAACAATGTCACCACATAAACATCACCAATATCATAGCACTCGGAAAATTAAACAAAAGCTCAATAACAAGGAAAACAAACAGCTCGCAGTTCTGAAATGGCAGGCTGGAGCGAGAGTGCACAACCCACACAATCGCTGCATGATTGGAATCAACAGAGATCCTACGGCATCAATTCTCCAACTCGTGTCTTATACTTTCAGGGAGCTCTTGGTACTCCCGCCGCCCCTTCAGAAATGTAAGGTTGGCTTTCACCTTGTGCATGCAGAAATCTCGGAGCTGATCTGCCCTACAAAAGTGAGAACATCAGATTATGTGCGCTGTGCCAAAGCTCCGCCCTGTTTTCGAAAAATAAAAAGCCTTGCTGCCAGAGCTACCAGCCTCGCGAAATTATCGCAATAACATCAGTGAGAAATATGAATATTTATGTGAATATTTATTATTTAGGTGAATATTTATGTATATCGAGTTTTAAAATGTGCAGCATGCTCATTTTCCTAATTGCAACATGCACGTGTAGCATAAGGCATGCGTAGCAATGCAGCTGAATGTAACTCGTAATTTACATTTAGGCAAAATTCCCAACATGCGCAACTTGGGCGCGCAGACGAAGGGATGCTGAGTAATGGTATCTATAAATATATAGCATTACGCTCATCATACATACCCTAGATCGTAAGCTCCCAACAAAAAACTCATGTAAGCAAACATGTTCTATTGTAGAATGATGAACTTGGATTGGTAACT